AAGACTCAACATTCTGCAGAAGCTGGTTGTCAGCCTCACATTCTCTTCTTTCTCAACATGCAACTTTGGATTTTAAGCTTTTTTTGTATATGCTATGAGACATGCATAAATAAAAATGAGTGGTACCAGGTAATTATCACAGCAATTGTGATATCCTTATGTAGCACCTCAACAAATCAAGGGAAGATTTTGCCTTTTGGAGACAGAAAATGAAGTGAGGGATAAGAAAATTGCCTATATAATGCTGGCACAGGGATGCCTCTCAAATCATTTTATCAGCAAAAAAGGAAGCCATGTCTGCTGGTAGCAGCTAAAGATCACGTTCTAATTTTAGCAGTTGCAGTTAACTCATTCCCAATGGAGTTGCACTTACCGTGAGAAGGTTTCTAACTGCTTCAGCACTGAAAGGAAACAAGCATTGAGTCATTCAACTGCAGATCTATATGCAAATATGCTTTTTGGCCCATGAAGGGAAAGCACTTAGAATCCACTGCTATAGTGCAGTCAGCCAAACATTTCCACACATTTCTTATAATGCAAATGCTGGAAAAAAAAAATTCATTTACCAACCAGTGTTTTAGCTGTCCCTACACAAGTCTGATCATTGGCATGCACATGCACTCTGTTAGGGACAGAGCGTGTGTATAGGAAATAGAGGCACACTGCATACCTAAAATTAGTGAGAAAAGTTTTTATCAACAGATATATTCCCCTTGACAGCAAATGGTTCAACAGTAATATTATTCATTTTACTCAAAGGTTATGTTTATATCTTCTATAACTCAAGATATATTAAGCCAATATATTACATTTTATTAAAGTTCTGAAGACCATAATGAACTGTTCAATTTTTTTTCAATTATTAACTCCCAGAACAGAAATTCTTTATAAAGAATTTAGTTCCTTATATGGTAATTTTCTCTGTTGACCTCTATTGGGCCTACAATAGAATTCACATGACCCAAAAAAATTCCTTATAGCAAAGCTGATTTAGTACAAAGAAATTAATAAAATGCTTTTATAATTAGGAGACTTCTGGCTTATCCTAAAGCATGCATGCAGTGCTAGGAAAATCCCAGCAACTAATATATAAGGGTATTAAAAAAAGGTAACGACACTCTTCTGGTGAGCGGTGATAACCCTGAGGTTCTTTAAAGAGCGATTTTTTTTTTCAATTAATTGTGTAAACAGATTTGCACTTCAGAATAAAATCTTGAGCAAGTTATTTCACAGTAGGGAATGAGAATTTCTTTTTCATTTGAAGAGGATACAAATAAAGAAAAATACAAAAACATTAAATCCAGTAAAGGTCAATAAAATTACAATGTAATGCCAAAAGATAAGTGTTCTTGAACTGCCATGTGGTTTTCTACCTAGATTAATCCCTGTTGTTTGCCTGTGACTGATCAGAGGCAGGGAAATTCCATGAGAGCTGCTCAGGCATCAGGGAGAGTTTGGAATGAAGAGTGCAGATTGTCACTAGAGATGAAACAGCAGAACTGGGGACCTCTCTATTCAATGGCAAAATTCACTGAGCATGCTGACAGTATTCAGCAGGACATCCACATCCATCCACACATACCAAAATTCCTGAGGGTGATCCCTTCAAGGCACTGACATGCAGACAGATGGAAAAAACTCTGTCTCTTCCCCAAGAAGAGACTGTGGGCTGCAATGAATGGGGCTCAGCACCATGTTAATGTGCAGCCAGCTCTGCAGAGGCAATCAGGCTGGGAAAAAGGGAAACTAATGGGAGTTCTGCTGCCATTTTCCCCCAGATGTGCAGATACTGATAAACGGCAGGGGAGGAAATGGTTTTCAAATAGCTACAGCTTAAAACAAAGGCAAACCTGAAATGTAGGAGGATGTGCATTACAACTGATATAAAATACATTCCTGTTCTACTCAGAAGGGCAGATTAGAACCTAAAAATGCTTTCAACTTCAGATGTAAACTCCAGTCCTTGTGTTTCCATGATACACAAGCTCACACTAATTTTTAAGAATATCTGCAGGCATTGTTGAACTGTGGCTTGAGGGTAGAGAGGAAAGCACTGCCCTAAAATTCTAGGGTAACTCCAAGGGTTACCATGGAATAGCTCAGATGATATATGTCCCATAGTAATTTTCACTGCTCTTAATATTTTGCATCCATGGCTACAAATATCTCAAATATGTGAGCAATTAGATACAGAAGAGTGAACTTTACAGAAATAATACTGCTGCTTAAATTCAGAGAGGAAAGGGTGATTATTAAAAATTAATATTACTAAAATTTCTTCTAAAAATTAGTAGTAAATACATATATTCACCTTATTTATTGATGAATAATAACATTGAGAATGCTCATGTGCATTTTGGGTTTGATTAGCATGACATGTACTGGTACCTCTTTTATTCTGGGAGCAATATTATTACTCTTTTTTTTTCTCCACAAATATCAACTATCTATTACAGTATAGGATTTTAAAGCTAAATTTCTGTGAAAATTTATCCTCTAGACTCCCTACTTGATGTTTTATAGAAATATGCATCTTAAGCATTAATTCACTAGACAAAAAAATATGTTTTAGGACAGAGAAATGAAAATTGTTGTGGGCTGTTGCAAATGATACTGAAAAATATTTCCTTTCTTTCAAGCTTCAATTACACTGAAAAATATTTTTCCTTTTGCTATAATTAGCATGTGTCTCTCTCATATGTATTTTTAATGAACAAATTCACATGATAAAACAGATTGATCCTGATGGAGCACAAAAAAGTTGCCTAAAGAACCAGCTGAGACCTTAGATGGGGTGATTATTTCTGAGCTGAGTGTTCAGAACATGTTCAGAACCTAATGGCTGCTCCCCAGCATCTCATTCTTATTTGTTGCTTTTTTTTTTCATTCTGTGTCAGGACTGGGTAAATTGTGTGCTGCTTTTTCAAACATTTCCTCCCTAGTCATCTCTTCCCATTGGAATTTTATTGCATTCAACTTGGTTTTTCAGCTTTGTGCTGGCAGTGCTAAGCTGTGTGATCTCCTGTCACAGCCAGGCTGCCTGTCAGGGGCTGCTGTCTGTCTCCAGCTGCACTCAAAGAACAGAGCATTGAATTGTTGTCTTGGACATTAGGGCATTCCTGCAGCAGAACCAGGCAGTGCTTTCCACTTGGAGTTCCAAAGGCTGGAGACTTTCAGAACCCAGAGGAGAACAAGCTACCACAGCTCTAAATAATCTCAGAGTAAAGGTGAAAGGAATCAAAGGAAAAAATTAAAAAGGAGACAGCACATGTGAAGGAAGGAGTCAAAGGGGAAGGTATGAAGACAGGAAAGTACCAAAAAAAAAAGAAAAAAAATGGGAAATCTCTGTGAAAGACAAAGAATAGATATCATGTGAAATAGAATTTCAAAGGATAAAAAGCATTCCCTGCTGTGCTGCTCCAGCACCTGCCAGAGTGATGCAACAGCACATGTTCAGGCACCTCCTTGTTTGAGGAGTGTCAGTGAGGTCCAACTTCCCTGTGTTCCCCATATCAGGAGGTTTCTAATGTTACCTTAAACTGTTCATTATTTGGAGAGAAGGAGCAGACACAGACTCCTGAGCACTAAGACCCTTGCTTGTTCCCCACCCTGGCTGCAGAAAACAGAAACAGCTCTGCTTTCTCCCTGGTCTGGGTATGGGATCTGCAGCCATGGGAGTGGGGAGGGGGATTTCCAAGGATGAGAACAAGCAGAGCTGTCACAGATGAGTGATTTGCAAAGCCATTTAAATATCTAGTCCATGTAAGTTGTCTGGGCTGCCTCCCAGATCAGTGGAGAGGTCACTGCCCATGTAAGACTCTTCTCATCCTTTGATAGGCACTTCTCTATAACATTGGGAAAAATTAATTTGAAAATTTAAAATATAGAAAAGTAATCAGTCTCACTTTCAGGATCAATTGCTAGGGATTAGTCTGATATGACTAAAGTCTTTGTATCAAACAACTCTCAAAATGCCAGCAATCTGGGCTGGAATCAGAAACCTAAGAGCTCATCAGCTCAGTAGCCTCTTACCACTCTCTCTGACTTGTTGCATTCCTCATTAAAAAAAAAAAAACAAAAAAACAAAAACAAGAAGTACCATAATAAATTACATCAAAACAACCACCAGATTATCATGTGCTAGTATGTTAACCTTCCTAGCTGAATCTGCCATTAATGGGATTAAATGTCCACATTTTCCCATTTTCCATGCTTATCTCTATATTGCATATGTTCTTTCTCTTCCCTCTTTTTCTTATTTACATTTTTCTTCAACTACCAGATTTTCTAGGCTTGTGAAATAATCACAGAAGTGAGGAACAATCTGATGTTACTTGCTGTAATTAAGCAAGATATTAAAGGGTTTTTAGAAACAGACTCTAAAAAAAAAACAACAGACTGTAACTTCTTATCTTAGTCTGAAGTAAATCAAGGAAGGGCCAGACAGGGGAAGACAAGAACAGAATAGAGGAACCTCCAGAAAAATAATGACTTTTCCATGATATCAAGCACTTCTGGGGAAAGCAAAAGCTCGTTAAACTTTACCAAATAATCTGTATATGAAAGGTTGAAGGAGATTATAATCTCAGTTGCTTTTAAAGGAAATCAACTTCTAGCCTGGAAAAGATGCCATCAGCTCTATATTTCTCTGCTGTACACTATTTTTCAAGTTCTGAAAATTTTAGAGGATAACCTACACTGTAGACACATTTATATTTTGCTGGATGATCAGAGGTGCCCTAAACCTCATTGTATACAAACCAAAATAAGTGAAATTTAAAAGTTCTTATCTTTGCCACACAGAAGCAGCACTTAGTCTTATTAATGAAATGCTGATAATATTAGTAGATAGAAGATGCAAGGTTTGGCATATGCCAAACATGGCTCTTTGCTGTAATGCAACCTCAGATAATAATGTCAAAAACTGTTATTGAGATAGTGGATCAGTAACATGTATGCAGTAAGCCTCATTCCCTGCTAAGATTTCATTTTTTTCTTACCTGGTCTCTTCTGTAGCTATAAAGAAACCATCATCTGAAGCATCAAGCCAATTTTGCCTCTGTCTCTTGATGACTGGAATGGTGCTTGTCTTAATGGCACTTGCACTGGCTTGCAAGGCCCTACCATTAGTCATATGGATGTGGGGAGCAGCATGCTGAAATCATAATAAAAGGGAAAGGTGTTTGTCTGAGAATAACCATAATTCCATTAACAAATTCTGCTGTAAAGGGCAGCCTACACACAGTCTCAAAACCCTGCTCATCTGCCTCAATCAGCACCTGGGGGTAAGATAACAACCAATCTGTGACCATTGACATGTTTTATGCATAGGTTTTAAAGCTCTTTAAAAACTAAATTAACTATTGCTAATGCCATTTTATACAAAAAGCTATTGAGGCATGAGTCAATGCTATGAACTAAGCAATTCAGAAACAGAAACCCATTGATTTTAGGAGAGAATTAACATTTTCTGAGCAAAAAAACGAACATTCCAAGAGCTATTTTTTTTCAACCAAAGAAGGCAACAAAACAAATTCAAAAAAAGCAAAACTCCCAACTTGCCGAATCCTAACCCGCCCGGGGTAGGTTTTTAAAAAAAAGCAACGAAAAAAAAAAACAAGTTGGGCCCGCCGCCAAACCGAAACGAAAGAAAAAAAAAAAAAAAACCAAAGGTTTATATCATGCTGTTGTCATGTTCATGTTGTCATGTTTTAACCATGCCAGTGCCATGATTCTTAGGTTTACTCACAGGTCTTTACCTAGTTACAGCTACCTGGAATACATCTGAATTCATTTCAGAGCTGATAACATCAAACTGAAAATGATGTATCGATTTTCCACTACACCTTTACCTGGAGTAACTGTGCAATGAGAGTAAGTACTCAGATCGAACAAGAGAAGCTGCCTTCTTACACATGAGGAGAGAGTAAAAATGTTTTCTGTATCATCTATACGTAATGTTTTGGAAGAAAACACCATGACAGAAATATTAATCTTGGAAATCTTAATCTTGTTTCCCACATAATCAATTAGCAGCAGGACTAACTAACACCAATTGGGTAAATCCAGTTACAATAGAAGACATTATACAAACACTAAAATCTGCTTACTTTATCTCACATGGATTCAACATTATTTTTCCTTAGGAAAAAGTACTATTTTCTTGGTGACATAATATCAGTATTCCACATTACTGATAGCATTTTTGTAACATTCCTAAAAAGCATCCAGTGCTGCACATTCATGGGAGTAGCCCCTAATTAGGGGATGAACATCACAGTCTCTGAGTAAGGAAGGGGATTGTACCACCCAAAAAACCAGCAGAACAGAGCACAGAACCAGTCTCTTAAATCTTGTCATAAAAACATAAAAGCCAGAAGAGATAAACAAGAGCATAGGTTTTTCTGAACAATTCTTACACTCACATTCAAAGCATTATATTCAAGTCATAACAAAACTTTCACCACACCCCAATCCACACCATTTACTCTCTCCAGTAGGACAAATTTTATGCATTGGCTGGAATATTTCCATCTATTCATTATGCTACTGTGAACAACCAAGCCATCTCCTGTGTGATTCCTTAGATCTCATATAACAAAACCAAACAAGGAGAGGAGAAACAAAACATCATATTTGAGTGAGTCACATATAAATATTTTTCTTAGAGTTAAACTATTTTCCTTTGTCTTAAAAACAAAGAAGATTTAGAGTGAATTTAATCATTGTTGCACATAGGGTAATTAATCTATCTTTGTAGCCCTTTGAAATATTTACTTAATTTTTTTTCCATTTTTTTTTCAATCAGTGTCTAGACTACAGTTTGGCTTTCACATATTTTTTCATATTGGCTTTGGTGGGGAAAAAGTCCTCAAAGGCATGCAACTAGAAGTAATTCAGCTCTTATTCAGAATAAATTCAGGATCATGTACATAGGTGCTGTGAAATTAGAAATTCATTAATGTTTTTAACTGCTGATCTCTTCTTGTACATAGTGGGTGGTGCTCAAAAAGAGAGTAAGGAGTCATGCATGGAAAACATTGCAACACATCAGATTTCCCATTCAATATTTGTATCTGGCAATTTCCTGTTTCATACACTACAGAGGAACATTCAAGGGCTCCAATGGTATATTTTTATTGTGTTTCCCTATTCAATAATGGGTTTAAGGTATCTCATGTAATGATTCAGATCTTTCCCAGGCTACTTTCTAATGCACCACTGAATGTTTCCTTTAGTCAAGATAACAAGTGCAGGTAAAAAATGTTCAGAAAATGTACAAGGTACAAAAAGTGTCTTTCCTGTGGCATAAACTCTGAAAAACAATGAAGCCTGATGGAAAAAGTACTTGTCTTTTCATGACACTTTTTGGCCTGGCAGAGCCAGATACTGCAACTAATTCTGAACTTCTGTTTTTTCTACTTTTATTAGCCCCTAATCCTCATTCCAGGCCAGAGATAACATTATAGAAAATGACACAAGCCTTACAATATAATCTCATTTCTTTTGCATCAAATTGGTTAGAATTTTCTCTTTTATTTCCCTTCTACCCCAGCCCTTTCAAGCTATTTGAAAAAATTAATTACATTTCACAGAAGGACAAGAGAAAATACGACCATTGTTCTCCAGTCTGTGCTAGGGACCACATTAATTTCAAGTTAATAAAAACAATTGAAGCTATTGACCAGGAAATCAGTTCATTAGTTCCTCTCAAAAAATATATTCACCAATGCATATGCAAATGAACATTCAATGCCACACTAATATCAACATCAAGAGCAAAATGAACTTTCATACAAAGTACTCGTTAAATGCTTTTCATTTATGATGATGATGAACTCAAATTTTCCCTCCTAGCACACAGTTATGCCAGAAAGGTTATGAAAGCCTCAAGAATACTCTCCCTGTGCTACCACAGAAGTCCTTTTCATTTAAAACTCTGCTTGCAAAAGCTTCAGCAATTTCCTCCCAACACCACTGTGTGCAATCAGCTGCTGCTGCTTTGATTTGAACTGTGTACATCACTAATAAGCTGTGCTCTGAGTCTGCAACAGAGCCACTGGTGTTAAGGGTCTGCATGCCAGGGGCACATCAGAGCAGCACCTGAGCATCAGGAGTTTGCTTTTTGGCCAAATCTTCCTCCTTTCTCCCAAGTTCTTCATCTCAATCTGAGCACATTCACTGAGATCTCTTGTTCCTCTTGGACAAAACTGTTCCAGCCTCAAAAGACATCAGGAGAAAAAACTTTGAGTGCACTTGAAAGAAAAATTTCTCAAGACAAAGGGAGTTCTGATTCAGGCAACATTACATCCCTTAAAGAACACAAAAATTTAAGTCATCATGGGGTTATCTCTGGGAAGAATCTCACCTGTCAAACAGGTGGTGTCCAAGCTGCAGAGTGAATGCACCCTCAGAGACCAAAGGCAATCTTTTCAAGGTCTTCAGCAAGGAGGACTTTACATAAAGACTGTGCAGCTTCACCTGCCCCCTGCTGATCCATTTCTCTGCTGCTTGCAAGTGCTGCTCATCAAAACTCACCTGGCAGGGGCATGAATTTCCCATCTGCATTCATTTCACAGTGGGCAACTGAGACACCTCCAACTTCCAAGGAACACTTGTGATCCCTTCACAAAGAAGCTACATCTCTTTGTCCCTGTCAAATCTTCTGGGAGCAGCAGCACTGACTTACAACTGTAAATCAGGTCTTTCAACACAAAATGCAGCTGGTGTAAGGCTTTGCTGTGGCAAGGAAACCAATGAAATGACTGTACAGGATCACTATACACGTGATATCTGCTCTAGTGGTGGCTATGAGTCCAATGAAGGCTGGATACCATCCCAAAAACACCTTAAAGTGGCAACTTAATATAGTTGCCATTTTATTATTAAGAGTACATCTCCTGTTCTCACTGGCTCCCAGAGAAGCACAAGCACACTGAGATGCATGATGGTAAGACAAGAGAGGAATCCTGCACAAATTCAGAAATGGGACCCAGATCCTAAATTCCAGCCAAGGTTACTGCCTATAAGTTGCCTAGTTTGTAGTGCCATATAAGTGGTCGAACATTTATTCATTGAGATCCACTAAAAACTCTAAAAAGACACTCAGGTCTGAAGATATTCAGCTTTGAAATAAAATACGTAACACTCACAGTAATTCAAAGTACAAAAATTAACAGTGAACATTTGTACTATGGCTGAAGGAATGTTTAACTGGACTACCATACATTCCTAAGCAGATTTAAATTTATGATTTCTTATGTTTTCCCCCATTGTTTCTAAAAGGAAAACATTCCCATTGCCTTAAATTAACAGTTTAAATGTTTTTTGTTGCATCTTTAAACAAACAAACAAACAAAAAAAACCAATTGAAAGCAAGCAGAGCAAAAGAATCCCTCTACAAGGAGAAAAACATCACTAGAAGAAATCAGCTATGCTCACATGACTGGCAATAACCCATATTAATTGGTTCCATATATTTTGCATCGACCTAATTATACAATACATCATTTAAAAGGAGTTTAGAATTACCTTCAGTTTAAATCAAGTATTGATTCTCTTTTGCCACACCTGAAGTATTCCTATTTCCAAAGGCATTATACCTTTAATAAGCATCAAGGCTTTGGGCCTGGCTTACTTGCTCATACAAATGTGAGATGAATGCAAAAATTAATACTCAAAATCTCTACACAGCAGGAAGTTGCAAATGTTGATAATAGTATGCAGGCACACAATCACTTTGGGTATAGAATTTCATTTAAAAACCCAAAGGCTATTAAAATATAATTATTTTCAAACAACAGATCATATATAAAAAATAAGCAAGTTTCAACACAAGTGCAACTTTGGAACCTCTGGATTTACTACCAAACCTTTCACAAACAAACCTACAATAGTTGTAATGCTGGAAATCTAAGTCCATCACTTTTCTGTGCAAGAGAAACAAACCCACCAAAACACCCCAAAAAGAAATTACCCTCCTAAAAGATGACAGCTGTCTTGCCAAAGCATCTGGAATAAAATAGTGTAATGTTTATAGTCCCTGTTTGTCATATATTGCAAACAAGCCATATAACCTCTAAATAAATAATGTCTTACAAGGTATCATTTTGAAGTAAATAGTTGTTTATGGAAATCAGTAAATTAGCAATGAAAGATTAAGCTAGGCAACTATGCACAGAATAAAAAGAAATTTATTTTATAGTCAAAACAGAGCAGGCTCTCCATCTCCCCCTATCACACGGATACTTAAAATATCTCCGGGGTTTTTATTTTTATGAACAAGAATCTAAACCAAAAAAGGGCAGCTATCATCGCATTTGAATACAGAATAAAAATCCTTGTAATTTTCACAGAAAAACTGGACTTTGACTTTTTAGCAGAACATTCAATACCTTGCTGGCTTTGACTCCAGCATAAATCTGAATCTTCAGAGACAAGACCAGATTCAATGCCTTACATTATTTCAACACCTATAAATGCAAAGTTAAAGAAGTTCAAAAACTTCATCTTGGTAAGACAAAATTCTTTTACATCAAAGCAGCCAAGGCAGTAAGACAAATTTGCTCTCACATTCTGATAACTACAGGTCATGCTTTAACATTTTATGTTACAATATAACCATAATCAGTCAGAAAAAGGGGACTTAATTTCAAAGTATTTATTGCAGTAGCATTTTACATTGGCTCTCAGCAGCATTGCTTTACTACATCTGTATTGAATGTATCATCTCATATTGTTTCTATGCAAGGAATATCATATTTCCTGGTTTTACTGACAGCTTCTACTTACTCACTGGGGAGTAAGAAATTTTTCTTTGCACATTCAGTTTTGCTTTAGTTGTAGAGTAGAGCAGACATTTCTATAACAATTTCTCACTAAGCAGAATACTTACTTTAATTTCTACCTTTATTTACATAAGTTCAATGAATAATTACTGCACACACTGCAGGATATTCATTTGAGGTCTGAGCCATCTGAGCTGTCAGCAGAGAGGTCTGGAGAGGTTCAAAAGACAGGGACCTCAAGAACTCAAGCTATTTAAAAACTTCTTCCTTCTCTCTTTAAAAGTTAGGATATGTTTTGGTGTGAGAAAAAAAAATATGGGAAAAATTCTCACTCTTTTGGCTCAGTTTTTAGAACTGTTCTGATACATTAATGGAAAAGAGTGACTGAGTATCTTCAGAGTACAATTAATAGGACAAAAAAGAGTAAAGGTAAAGCACAATGAAGGGTTCACCAGCTTCAACACAATTGCCCTGCTGTTTTCCCAAAACCAATGTAGCATGGAAAAAACATTGAAAAGTTTTTCAATCCCTTCGAAAATTTTATAACAGAGGAATACACCTGAATAATTAGACATCATCTTTTGAAATGGATGTATTTAAAACAAGTTCACAACCAAGAAGGAATACATCATATCCAGTAGGAAACAGAAACATCACTTTTCCAGACATCTCTACTATTTTGAATTGTTGTGATTCCTTACCTATTTAAAATTCATTTGCACTGGTTTATTAATGGCTATTGATGATAAAGGCAATAAACTACTTTAACCCTTTATCCCCTGCAGAATGAAGAGATCCATGGGGGAATTTACACGTCCCATAAATGCCATACATAAAGAAGAGATAAATAAACTTTGAAGATGCACCCTAAAAACTGTAGGAATGGCAATAAACAAGCTCATGCCATGATTTGCTGGGCCTTACTCTAAAATTTTGACACTCGCCTCAAAAACTGGTATTTTCCAAAAGCAGAAAGCACTCTCCTCAAACACCCACAGGACAGGCATCAATCATTTCCTGCCAGAGAAAGGTTTTCTCTATGTGAATTGCTGTTCAGCCCTTGCCTAACTTTATTGTGAGTTTGAAAAAGAAAGAAACCAACATTTCTCACCCTATAAAAATGCAAGATAGACATTGTGTGTGACTTTTTTTACATAAACTTTCTAATCTCATTTTTGAAAGTATATCTATCCACTTAAACTTTTCCCTATTTCTGGAACCCAAATTATCAAACTCAAGGTAAAGACAGAAACTGGCCTCTGAGGAATGTTATGCAAAAAATTACTCAGCTATTTTTCTGAAATTTAAATGTGCTCTGCCCCATGTGATATAGATAGAATGCAAGAAATTTTATCAACATGAATTTGACATAATCAAAAATCACTTAAACATAGAACATAGAATTGTAGTTTAATTTTTCAGCTATTCAAAATGAGAGCACTGTTACCTGTTAAGCTCTTTAATCTCTGACTTTTTTTCCCTATGATTTCTCATTAAATAAAGACTGACTCATTTTATGCCTAGAATGATATTGGACTTTGTAAAAAAAAAAAGCCAATGGTTTAGGATACTACTATATCTACTTCGTTTTAGAGGAAAAAATCATAGCTATAGGCAGATCAATACCTACAATCTCCTCTATACTTACCATGATTGTTCTTGTTGTATGGCTGGGTGATTCTGGAAAATAAAAGAACCACAGCATATTAGAATGTTTTCCTTACCCACAAAACCCCTATGTTCTGATGCTCACCCTGAAGGCTAAGATGCCACTGCTCAGCTACAACAATGAATACATCAAAAATGCAGAGACTGGAAAGATTCTTCATGAAATGAGCATGAGACTATCATTGGTCCTGAATTTACATGTCATGCTATAATATGCTGCTAACTGCACTCGTTCTCTTTCCGTAATTATCCTCTTCTGCAAGAAAATATAAAAACTGAACTAATTCATAATTCATGTTTGAAGAAGTGAGGGTTTTTTCATTTTGCTTTCAACATATGGCATCATGAAGGGCTCTCTCTGCAGACAAAAATACAGATAGTATCAACATAATTCCATTACTCTTCCCATTTCAAAAAAAAAAGTGTTATAAAACTAGACAACCCTTTTTCAGATAATTTTGAGGTGGATGCTCAGTTTGAAATTGACAAAGCTTATTGAGAAATGCAACATGCACAAAACTATTCTTCCATATGATAAATCAGGAGTCAATCAGCTGAGCTCATAGTTATATTTATATAAATTGCAGAGCAATCACTACTAGGCCAATAATTAACATAGATTTCACCTTGCTGTTTAACTCAGATTGCATTTGCATTTTACTTTCCCCAAGAATAGAAATCACACTCTCTTTGGCTTTAAAATGTTACAGTTCACATATCAGAGACCTTGTTCTTTTTCAAAGCAGTGCAACTTCAGCAACAAAACATAAAGAGTTAAAAAACCTGCAAGGAACCTCACTGCTGGTCTCTAAGATGCAAGATGATATTCAGCAGTCTCACAGACTTGCTCAAAAATCTGGATAGGACACCTTGTTGTCTATAGAGAGTTCTTAAGGAAGGGACTTTTATCAAAACTATATGTTTTTATAAAATGTACACAATTCTGAATGAATTGAATCAACAGAGTTCTGCAAGCAAGATAAATGCTAAATAATTACTTTCTTTTTTTTTTTTTGTCTTTGTTCCAAATTGCAACTTACAGGGTTTCCAATTAGTATCACTTACACAAAGAATTCATGAGGGATTTTATTATTGTTAAAAATTGTATTAAAGAGATTAAAGGGTCATGAGAACAGCTGCATATTTCTCTCTCTCAAAAAACAAAAAGTAATTACACTCTTAAAGTGGCATTTCCCTTTCATTTTGAGGAGTCACCTTAACCAGTCTGAAGGTATAGTTCAATGACCGATAGAAAAAAGGTAAGCCATTTTAAACATCTCAAACTATTTTTCAACTCCAACATTCAACAGAAATTCCAATATCTAGTTTACATTTATATTTGTACAAGTCTTCATCCTTAATAAGTTTTAAGTAAGAAATATTTATATCCCTAAGGTCACATTGACAGAGGTACTATAATGTGAATATCTGCCTAAAGCCAGCAGTATCTTAGTTGTGAGCTCCTCTACCAGCCCTCTTTTCCTCTCTTTTTTCATGTAAAAGTTATCATATATAAATATATATTTAGGTCACCAGTCCTCCAGGCAATTTTTAAACTCTTAGTATAAGAACTAAATATTGTGACAGTCTACTGCTTCCAGATACTTGAACATAGCTGGCATTCTTATAGAGTAAGAGAAGATCACAGTAGAGTGAAAAACTCTGTAATCTGTTAAATTTTTATCTTCACAGTAATTTTTGTTATTAGAACTTTTTCTTTTTTGACACCCCAGTAAAATAACATTTCAGGAACTGAATATTCCTGGGAAAACACAAAGACTGCATTAATGAAATAATAAGTAATTGAGCCAAAGATTCATTCCTTTTATAAATATCCAGAAAAAAACCCAACCACCTTATCTCCAAGAGCACAATATTTTCTGAAGAATTTAGAATATAAGCAGAATTATCCACAAAGTTAAACACAAAGAATGGGGCTTCTTGTCTCTTGAAATACAGAAGGATTGATTACAGAGTGCTTTCAGTCACTTCCAAAATGATCAAAGCCCAGAAACAAAAATCCACATTTTTTATACTGAGATATTTGAAACCTTCCCTCTTACTCAGAGGTGCTGTGCTTTTGGCATAGCTCTATATGCCAAATCTATAAAAACTGTGCTTAGCCATGATTGTCCCAAAATACACAGACATGCTCTCACTCAGTTGTCTGTGAAACTGAGAAGATTTCCCTAAAATGAGCTGAGGAACAACTGAATTTTCCTGGAAATTGTTAAACAGTGTATTTTTGAAAAGAACCTGACAGACACTGTTAATGCAGTTCCAGCAGCTGTTATCTCCAGGATATTACCATATTGATAATCTAATAATAAAATCCAGACAAGAAGTGAAAAAAGATGTTATATTTGTAAATATCCCTGTTATATCATGCAATAGAATCATTCTCTTTTTTTCCCATGCATTTTTCTTGCTGTAGATACTGAAATATCATCTAAGTTGCCAAACATCAGAGACCTGAGTATATCCATAAATACAAAGGTAGGAAAAGAACTGTTTAATAAGTAGATATAGTCAAAAGATTCTAAGATCTAGCCAAGACTACTAATTAAGGTGCCATTGTTGCACAATTTAAACTCTTACATACTCCAATACACAAGTATTCAGACTTTAAAACAGGGGAGACACTGATTTCTTCCAGAAAATAATTACACCCTGACTTGGGAGGTTCCGAGAAACACTTATGCATGGACACACCAACCAATTTTGTGGAAAACATTTGACTAAGGCAAGTAAGGTAGAAAGCCCTTGCTTAAAAAGGTAGTCACACAGCATAAGAAACCTTTACAAAGGGTCTGCACACCAATGCAAAATCCAGTGCAGCTTAAGGATATCAGATATTAGTTAGAAACCACAAAATTCTTGGTATTGAACAGAACAGAAGACAGAACTTTGGGTTTTCATTTTTATCTGCCATGTTCTACAATGCCTTAGGGAATTGATATAATCTGGCTCGAATTTTAGTGAAACTGGCACCAGTGAACACTTGGTTTATAAGTGAGTTCTCACAAAGGATTTTGTGTGAGACAGTGATCTGTACCTGCACCCCTTCAGGAGGAAGGGAACTCCAGGATGGAGACTGATTCTGCCCTTAGGGCCATTGAAGTGCCATGGAAGTGGATTGCTCCATTTTAAGCAGAAGTGACCAGACATCATCACCACTAACAAGGGTTTGTAGTGCAGTGAGGCAGGGGAGTTTCAGTAAATGCAGCTTCAGTGCTGACAAGATGTTTATAAGTTTATTATTGTGGAGAAATTGATGCACCAGCAATAGAAAATGCCTAAGATGCTCCTGTGCCCTTTCTACAACATATTTATTCAAACTCAAATAGAAATGAGAAAGCTGTAGAAGACATTTCCTCACACTAGAATGTGCTTTACCAACCACATTGATCAATCAAGCATTTCTCCCTGTTTCCAGGCAGTAGAACACCATAAAATTTCCCACTGTAAAACCATTTAAGGCTAAATCAGAAAAAGCACACTGCTTAGGGATGGTGTCAGCTACAAAATTATTTCAATTTTTAAAAATTTTTATTACATATCAGAACACAATTATTTTTTATTACACATCAGAACTGTTTTCCAGCTGTTTGTGTATTATTTGTATATGTGATATTCTTTATTTCTGTTGCTAGAAAAGAGAGTTATGTGGTATCACTTTTTTCTGTAATGGGATCATTGACAGTACTAATGGGTGAAACATGTCCTACTTCTAAAACTTCCAGAATAAATATGATTGAAGATAATGTGATTTTGACAGGTAGAAAATAAAGTCACAGTGGTAATAGCAGAGCTATTTAATTTTAACAACATCTCAGCTTATGATGGTGCATTGCATAAGACTTTAAAGGTTAATCTCACTCAGGGTGGACCACCTTATGAAAAAATCTAAGAAAGGAAGGCTGCTTCATTATTTCTCCTCCATTTGGGTTATGAATGTTTTGAGTAACCAAACATAATTGTTTTTTTCCTCTCAGTCTGCAGCAACTGAACAAATGACATTTTTAATTCAAAAGTATTACTAAAATGATATAAATACATATGTGTGTCTGATAGTAAGAATGATTTTTGAGGAAGACCATTATTTTCCCAAGACAGAAATTTTAAACACTGTAGAAAGAATATACAGATGGGGGAAAAAAAAAAAAAA